GGCCACTGGCCTCCCTTCTGGTCTCCTGCCCTGCCCAGCAAGCCCCTTTTATTTGCCAGCAGAGAGGTGGGGCTCTGTGAGGTCACAAAGACCCAGGAGAAAAGGGGTTGGTTCCCAAGGCAGCAGCAGCAGCACCCTCAGGATTGGCTGAGTCCTGAAGATGATGTCAACAGTCCCTCTGATCATGTGATGCACCCACAAAAGCTTGCATTTTGCATGATTTTTTAAATTTGTGGCCTATTAATGTATTCCCTGTCACCAATCCCTCTGATTGTTAAATCTTCCCATGTTGGCTTTCTGACAAGATTCTAGGCTGGTGCTTCAAAAAGTTATCTTCCAGCATTTGCACCAAAAAGAACTTTCCTAAGCCCCGAGCTAGAGGGAAAAATGAAAGTAATAAATGAATAAGGATGGGCACAGTCACACAATGAAGCCTTTGACCTTTTTTTTTTTTTTTGCCTCTTTTTGGACTTTTTTTCTTGCCCTTACCATGAAAAAAAGCAAAAGCAAAAAGCAAAGCGTGCTGCTTATATACCGCCCCATAGTGTTTCAAGCACTCTCTGGGTGGTTTACAATTTAATTACGCAGGCTACACATTGCCCCCCCAGCGAGCTGGGTACTCATTTTACCGACCTCGGAAGGATAGAAGGCTGAGTCAACCTTGAGCCGGCTACCTGGGATTTGAACCCCAGGTCGTGAGCACAGTTTTAGCTGCAGTTTAACCACTGCGCCACGAGGCTCAGATATTATAAGGAAAGTTAAGAAAACAACCTAAGTTTTTGAAACACATACAAGTATTTTAACACCATCCCTGCACTATCAAAGATGCAGCTGTGTTTCAAAGACTCTCCGAGCCTTTGGAACTCCTTCCCACTGGAAGGCAGATTTGCCCCACCAGTAAGTATTCATTTGTTAATACCACCCATGGGGGGGGGGGAAACAAGCATTTAACCCTTGCAGTGCAGGAACAGTTGCTTTTTCTAAACTAAAACCTCAGCATTTGGGTTTTAATTGCAGTATTGGCACTTTGAAATAAATAAGTTGTTTTGTCTTGCAGTTTGGGCTCAAAAAGGTTCACCATCACTGGTGTAGGGGATAGAGTGACAGACTAGACTCTGGTTTGAATTCCCACTTAGCCACTGGGGGAATGGAACTGATAAAGCCACTCCTTTAAATGCCTCACTTATCTTAAAAGCCGTGTTAAGATCGCTGTAAGTCAATTCTGATGTGATGGCGCATCACTAACTGCCTAAGCATACTTAAGGATGCACATTTACATAGTTCCCCATTTCTGTGATGCCTTGTAGTCATTGATCTTGCCCTGTCAGATGCCATCTGTAGATTTCTCAGCCGTTGTTCAGCAGAATTCACGTGTGCTCTCTGGCTCTGGTTGCTGATGCGGCCACTGAACTACAAAAGCCCAGGTTCTGTAGAGATGCAGCACAGCAGGTAAAATGGTCTCAAAGTGCTGCAGTTGCTTAGTGTGGAAACATGAGGTAATGCTTATGGCAAATGATCCTTTATTGAGAGACATCATTGATCAGTGGAATGAAAAGTGATGACTTTCCCCTGTCCTGTTCTTCCCAGTATTCGCTATGTGCAGCCACACAGTCCCAGAAGGGCCATGAAAGTCAGGAAGGCTACCATGCGCTGTTTTCCAGACTCCAATCCAGGAGAACGAAGCTTATTTGGATTGCTCTCACCGGCAGCTGGGCTGCATAACAAGCTTGGTAGAAACCAGGGGCCTTTCAGTAGCCTGGGAATGCCAGATGCCTCAACATTGCAGAAGCAGACATTGGTGGCTCCGATGTCAGTCAGGCAATGAATCCACTCAGATGCCTCAACATTGCAGAAGTAGACATTGGTGGTTCCGATGTCAGTCAGGCAATGAATCCACTCTGGGTTTTCATCTGAACTTTACAGGAGCCATCTAGAGGACTGAACCCTATCGTTTCAGCACCTTGTGTAGCCCAGAATAAAATCTGGAACAGACTTACTCCCTCCACTGACATCAGAACCACGAGCCACTCGTGGCTGACCTGAATGGCAACATCGGTGAGAAACCTTTGAATGGTGCATGGGAGGAAACAGCACACATGGAGGTCTGGAGTGTGATGCTCTTCTGTTGCAGACAGTTCCCCCAGGGCTCAAGGGTAGAAAAAATTGTGTTCCGCATGCCAGCAGGGCTCACCAGGCTAGAATTGTGAACTTATACATTATACACGAAGAACAATCCTTTTGGAAGCTCTGATGAAATCCTTGTTTACAAGACAAAGTAAAAAGAAAACTTTTTTTTTTTTTTTGGTTCAAGAAATCCAGGATAGGGTAGCATAAAACAAAAGAAAAGCTCAAATTGGTTGCTGAAACTCCAGGGCTGTCTTCCATGAGTGCAAAGCCAACTGAGAGCCATCACAGAGAGGAAGCCCTGGGACTGACCAATCCTCAGAGGCAAATATGAACAAAAAGCTAATTTAAAGGCTACCTGAGCATAGCAGCATAGAGAAAGCCGAGAGCAAAACAGAAGTTAGGAGCAAAGCTGTAATAAATTTGCTGCCAAGTTGGAACGGACCTATGGCAATCTTGACAGGGCTTTCAGGAGACGTGAGATACTGTAATAAATTTGCTGCCAAGTTGGAACTGACTTAACAGCAACCTTGACAGGGCTTTCAGGAGACGTGAGATATTT